TAATAAATTTGTTAGTCTCTAAGGTGCCACAAGTACTCCTGTTCTTCTTTTTGCACTTTCATTGTTAGAGCATCATAGACATTCATTCATAATCCATCATGACAGTCTCTGAGATACCTTGTCTAGCCTATTAAATGCCTTGTGTATTTGGACTTCTTATTAAATAGATAGGTAGCCAGTGGAATTTAGAGTATTGGTAGTGGGCAGCCACTTGCTTTAATTTTTGGACGGTCTTTGCCTTTAAGCCCACGTAGGTGAGTTGTAGTAGTCTAGTCTAGAGCTTGAAAACTGACTAATATGAAGCTGAGACTGCCTTATCATTTGCCCTTCCTATATTGCTAAGATGGTCATGGCCTCCTGATGTTTAGTTGTGACCCCTGCCCTAAAGAGAAGCTAATGAACTAATGCAGCTGTGAAGCAGAAATTAAGTTTTAGGCTCTGACTGTATCCTATGCTAGACTTAATTTTCTTAGGAACTGATTGTATTGTCTTCTCATTGGAAGTTCCTTCCTTAGATGGAATCCTAGTAATTAGTTTATCTACACTGTTCTGTTTATGCCAGGCTATTTGTATGGAGCAGGCAAATAACATGTTTCATATTTTCCCCCACTCTTCAAGGAATTGAAATGTGTGTGAATACTAAAAAGTGGGGAGTAAGGGTAGGGTTTAAAAAGCACTGGCCTAATTCTATTTCCTATTTCACTGTTGACTTCAGTGGGAACAAAGTTAGGCCAGTTTTGAGCACCCTTCTGAAGTTTCATAATGCTTTTTGATTAATTGGATATAAACTTTATATGACAGCCTGTGTTGATTTGTATAGTTGTATATCTGTTCCATACAGTTGTTGTTAACTTCAAAATGTACTCAGTTCAGCCTGTGAAAGCATTGATCGCCAGTTGTGGGTTAGTTTGGCTTCTTGAGATTTGTGAGGCAGCCCCTGCAGCTGGCTATTTACACAGCATTTTTGAAATATTACTGTCGTCTTGTATTGCAGAGGGAATCTATATTTGTTTGAACTGTAGTTCATTAATCATTTTCTACAATAGCTCAGGCTCTAACTCTAGAGTTTTTCTTTGTGTTGTCATCATAGATAGCGCTGTGGTAGTGTTAGATATTTGTATGTAATTCTAATGTACTATTTTGAAGTATTAGTATTTTATTTGAAAAGAAAACATTTGATCATTCTTATTTAGTATTCTTTATGTCATTTTCCTAGTTAATTTTAAGGGTTATTTCACCTGTGAGGAACCTCTCTTTCCTCTGCACCTTTCAAAAGAAAGGATCTATACCAGATACTTTACTTTGAGTGCGGAACTGGGGAGCTAACTGCAAACAAACAAACAATTTCTTTATCCACTTTCCCTTGAGAACTGCTTAAATATGTCTCTTCCTTTCCAAATGAACATGTTCCAACAGGTTCGTATATTTGTTTATTGGGTTACAATGATTGCTTTATTTTATTATAGTAAATAAGTGGCTTCATTTTAGAGTTTTAGTTGCCTTTAGAGTGTGTGTGTGTTGTTTTTGTTTTCAAATTACATGTTGTCCAAGGCTGTGGGCTAAATGTTTTTGTGATACAAGCAAGAGGCTTTCATGATTCATTAGGGTATCTTTTCTCTCTGCTAAACGTTGTTGTCCTTTTTGTTACTGTTAGTGTTTTATTATACAGTGAATCCTTAATAGCCTGTGGACTTTATCTTCTACACAAAATGGGCAGCCACTCGGCATCCCTTAGCAAAGAGTTTAACCAGCAGAATATCTTAGAAATAAGTGACTTCATTAGGACTTCATTATTCTTACAAAATATGCTATAGTACAGAAATTCCCTTGACTGTGTCCCACAAACCACTACTTGGGTGGAGGGAGGGTGTCTGCAGAGAGAAACAGAACAGATGGAAGGGGCAATGGAATGAAGAGCAAAATTAGATAGTGTGATTAACTTTTCGAAAAGGACAAAACATTTATTGCACTAAAGACTTTCAAAAATACATACATTACTACTTTTCCATGTAAGCAATTTCTGTAGTAGTCACAGGAATTTTATGTGATTGCAAGTGGAGGGAGAGGATCCTAATGTGACATACAGATGAGGAGGTGATTCACAAAAAATGTATTTTACGGTGTGATCCACATGATGAAAAAGTTGAAGAATCTCTGCAATAGTACATTTCTCTTTATGAAACAGGTTTCTGTTAGTCTCAAAGGTGCCACAGGACCCTCTGTTGCTTTTCTCTTTATGAAGTATTATTAAAACTAAGCTACAGTGGTTTAAAAAAAAAGGGACCCAATACTGTGTGATTTGTGATTCATTATCTTTCCTTTTTATTTTTTAGTGGTAATTGTTCTCTTACAGTTTCACAAAATTAAGTATTTGGAGCATGTAGCAAAGAGCCGGCTCACTGGCGCAGCGCCTCCTGCTGGTCAGTCCAGCAATTAGCCCATCCAGCTCAGGAGCGCCCTCCTCTGGCCAGTTTCTTGCCCTCAGTTACCTGCCCTGTCGTCTCCAACACCTCTGGCCCCATGTTCTTCCTGGACCCCGGTGCCCCTTATCTTGGGGTGCTGCCCCACAGCAGTGCCCCCACACTCTGGGTCTCCCCAGGGGAACCCGAACTCCCCTATACCCACCTTGCCTCAGTCGCTACTGCCAGTCGTCATCTAGCCCCTTCTCTCAGGGGCAAACTGCAGTCTGAAATGGCCACTCAGCACTGGCAAAGGGGTTGGACCTGCTGCCTTTTCTTGGCCTAGCTGCCTCCCTGCAGCCCTAGTACCTCCTCAAGCCTTTGCTGCAAGGCCTCAGCCTGGGAGGTCGCCAGGCCAGAGCTCCCCAGCTCAGCTTGCCCTTTCCCAGTACTGCTCTGTCCAAGGTACCCCTGTCTCTAGCAGGCACCTAAGTCCTTCTTGCTCCACTGCTGGAGCAAGAACTCACTTCCTTCTCCCTAGGAGCCCTTCTTATGCTGGCCCAGATGGGCCCTGATTTGTCTGCCTCAAGCCCACTCCTGATTGATTGGCTCCCTGGGGCAGCCCTTTCCCCAGGCTGTTTTTAACCCCTTCCAAGCTGGAGCGGGGTGACTGCCCCGCTACAGAGCAGATCTCCCAAAGAACTTTTGAAAATAAATTCTATTGAGAAACAATAGGACTATTCAAACACAGTTTTCATAGTTTTAAAATATTGCTTCAGTAAATGAGTTATCATTTGACTTCTGCAGACTCGTCCATGAAACTGACAAGTAGACAGCAATTGACACACAAAAAACCCCAAAGGCTGGCAAAATTGCAGCCTGTCTCTAACTTGAGAACACATTTATTTAAAAATGTCTCTGGTCTGGGATATTTCTTGCATAATGTTGTTTAATTTTTCACTATGTCTGATGATCTTCATTATTTGATATTGATGAATCATTATGGGGTTTTTGTTGGCTGTTGTTTTGAGATGATGGAATATCAAACTTTCTTTAGTTTTTTGTCCCTAACTCTTTTGTGACAACTCTTTTTTTCCACCTTTGCAATTACTTATTATCTGTTGTGCTGCTATGTTGGTATTTGCTCCACAAAGTTTTTCCTTGATCCTATGTTATGACCTGAATGCTTAGAGATGTCTAAACTACCAAAAAAAAAAAGACCCACCATAGCTGCCAGTCTTAGGGTCCAGGTCAACTGACTGAGGCTTGCACTGTGGCGCTTTTTCTCTCACATCCTGAAACACTCCCATGGCAGCAGCATTTTTGAAACTCTTTCAGAACAGATTTTTTTCTAAATGCCACCAAAGTAGTATTTGCTTGACTTGAAAGGCTCTGCAATAAGAATCTTGATGTTTAGGGATTTGATGTCACACTGATAAGTTATGGTGCTTGGGTGAAGTCATACCTGTAAACTGATAATCTTCTATTTTGCAATGTTTTACATGCAGTTACATTAAAAAAATTTGCACATTCATTCAAAAGTTGTTAGGGATAATTTTTTTGCCCAAATTCTGTACATGTGGGCAAAATACGGCCAGTTGTTTAATACTAAATAACAGTGCTATATTTTTCATAAGATTAAGCATATGCAAAATAGTATTGGGGCATTACTGTGTAATTTACATTTATTTGCCATTAAGTGACTTATACCATTATTTATGTTGTTGCTGCATTAGGAAATATAGCATCAATGGGACAACTCATGTGGGGAAGGACTGCAGGACTGAGTCCTAAACTCATTTATGGAGAAAAACTGTACTCTTTCTATGCAGACAGACTACAGTTTGTATAAGCAATTCTGCTTTATAAATATATTACCTTACTGTGGAGTCCTTGTTCTCTGCTGTTTTTCCTATGAATTATGATGCAATTTTGATGAAATTGCTGCTGTTGTATTTTTAAGCATTACACTGTGCAAGCTGGTTATATGTATTTTTAAAATGAGCTACTCAAAGTAAAAACAAAAGTAGGCATTTTGGTATTCTGCTCAGAACTGTCCTAGATATTTAAAACCTAGCATGATTGATTTATATGCATAATATTAAGCACGATGATTTAATCAGTTAAGGCTTGCTATTTCTGTAGAGCGTACTTTGCAATCTATTGTTGGGGGAGGAGGAAGACTGGGTTCTTGTTTGTTTGTTTCAGTTGAATTAATAAATGAAAACTTGATTTCTACTTCTTTACAAAAATTGAGATATGCATCACAAAGTTTGTTCTATTTTCCAGGTCTTCTTTATCTTCTCTAACATAGATACACAGTGCAGTGTTTACACTTAAAAAAAAAACACCCTCCCAAAACAAATCACTACACTGCACACATGATTTGTCCCCTGGGCAAAGGATGAAAGAAGAAATGTATGTGATATTAATCATGTCACTTAATGCTCTACTGGAAGACACTCGGATACTATGGTGATAAGGACAGTATAAAAATGGATAATATGTAGAACAGAATTCCATGTTAAAGTTTAAATTCCTTAGGGGAAAATTTGTAGGACCCCCAAAAAGGCTAAATCAATGTTTGTTTTTTTATTTTAGAGACATATTACTATATATCTCCTTTAGTTGGTGCCTTTTTCTTGGCTCTGACTCCTATGTGGATTGTAATAGCTGCCAAACATCCAGCTACAAGAACTGTTCTCTATTCAGGGTGGGAGCCTGTTATAACTGCTATGCTTATAAGCAGGTAAGTAATTTTTTTAAATTGTTTCACTGTGCTCCCCTGTCTGAATCTACCTGTTGTCCCTGTCTTATTAATCCCCCCAAACTTCATTAATGCAGAGTTAAAATTGTTCAGTGATGCCTTATGCCCTTACAGAATGTGGAGAGTGGCTAAACTTAAATCTCTGAAAACCAGCATATACTGTACAGAGTTGAGGTACACCTTACCCCTGCAATGTATGCAACCTTAGCTCTGACCTCCTAGAGCTGGCAGTAGCCACTGAGAATGTTCAGTAAGGGGGAGGGATAGCACAGTGGTTGAGCATTGGCCTGCTAAACCCAGGGTTGTGAGTTCAATCCTAGAGGGGGCCATTTTGGTGTCTGGGGCAAATATCTGTCTGAGGATTGGTCCTGATTTGAGCACACTAGATGACCTCCTGAGGTCCCTTCCAACCCTGATATTCTATGATTAACAAACTACTAAAGGAAATGGTGGATTTTTTCATCTCTCTAAATCTTTAAATCAAGATTGAATGCCTTTCCAAAAGGTTTGCTTTAGTCAAATACAAGTTGTTAGGCTCAAAACTTGAAATTCTGTGGACTAGATAATCTAATGGTCCCTTCTGGCCTTAAAATCTATGAAGCCACAATTAGTAGAGAAGAGGAAGGACTAAGAGAATTGTGCCCATTGTTATGTTGTGTTCCACAGATTTGGATTCCAACAGTTATTTGCATGCATACCCTTGCATTCACTGTGTTAGGTGTAGCTGTGTTGAATGGTAGAAGGATTAGTTGGAGCGGCTTGCAGATCTGTGACTGTGCTGTGAACAGAGGTGCATACAGTATGTACTTTGAGAGGTGACGTATGCCTCATTTCAGCACTGAATTTTGTGGGTTTTGTCAGTAGCAGTCTTCTTGCCATGGGGATTGCCAGCAGTTTGGTGGCATACATCAGTGGTCCTCAACCTGTTTTCATTTGTGGACCCCTAAAAAATTTTGAGTGGAGGTGTGGACTCCTTTGGAAATCTTAGACATAGTCTGAGGACCCCCAAGGGTCCGCGGACTACAGGCTGAGAACCACTGGTATGCATGACAGTAGTCTCCAAGGCTTAGTGAAGGGTAAGTAAAGACAATGTCTCAGAAGGATTCCCCTGGACAAGGGTGAAGAGGTGGTAACGTTTAGCAAGACTGGGGTGGTTTGTGTGTTTTAGGCTCTCGGGTATGTCTGTACTGTGGTTGAAGGTGTGATTGCATCTTGGGTAGGCCTAGCCAAGGTGAACTGCTAGCAGGGGTATAGGGCTGTTTAGCTGGTGGGTAAAATTGAAGCGCCAGGTCTTCTTTTACCTTGGGATAGTTCTACATGTTCGTTACTTCATGGTAAAAAAACTCATCTTTATTAGCAGTGAAGACAAAACCTGAGCTGCACAGAACAAAAAGAAATGGCGGGAGAGAGGAGGAGCAGCAGCAAAGCGGGGAAGGAGACTCCTTTTCAAGCCTGAGCTGTGGGATAATGGTTGCGGGAATGGCAACGGAGAAGGAGCTCAGTTGCCTGTGATGAAATGGGTACAAGCTCCCTCCTCAGGTCCTCCTACTTGTTGCTCTGGCCCTTTTGAACGCCAGCAATTATGGGCTGGATGTTTATGAAGAGGGAATTGAGGGCTGGAGGAAAGACTGGCCTGTGCTTGACAGCTCTGCAGGAACTTAAAATTTGCCAGGGATATAGTGCTCAGGTCAGAAGAAAGGATCTGTTTTTGTCTATATCTTGTTTGTAACTAGAGATCTGTGTGTTGTATGCTTACAGTGGAGGAGGTACAGCTTGTTTTGGAAGCATGTGGACTGTGACTGGAGCATTCAGAAAATAAAGGGACAAGTCCTCACTGACTGGGCAGGGACTGTCTTATGCTATGTTTGTATGGTGCTGATCTCCATCACTGCCTCTAGGCAGTCCTATAATACAAATAATAAACAGTGCTGATAATTCTAATGTATAGTTAAAATAGTAATTCTCTATGATTTATAAATCTGCTAAATCTGAAAGGATTTTCACAAGGACATTGCACCTTCCTATTTCAAACCTCTCAGGTGCAAAAACTGTTTTTAAAAGGAGCATTGATAAAACTGTGTTTTTCACTAATAATCTCCTCAGGAGCAGTGGAACTGTATGCTCAAACTTTCCTTTAAAATGGGGAGGCGGGTGGGAGGGACAGTGAGAGAGCAACCAAGCATAGAACATTTTCAGGTCACTTTTTGAATAAGTGTTACTAAGAATTTTGAATACTTAAAAATTGATTGATAGAATTTGAAAAATAAATATTGATGCACCTATTTGCTTTGTTCTAAATGTTGTACTTTATATTTTTCAGCATTGGTGGCCTTATTCTGGACACAACTGTTTCTGATCCTAATTTGGTTGGGATTGTTGTTTATACTCCAGTAATCAATGGTAAGACAGTAATAGGATTATTTTAGAAAAATATCAACAAGTCTCTATACATGTTTTATAAAAGATTATTACACTAAAGTTCAGCTGCAGTGGGTGGGTATCTACTACATTAATTTTAAGTTGTAACTTTGGTGTCAGAACAGGGTAATTTAAAATAGTAGCAGTGACTCCTGGTCATATGTACCAGAAACATAGAAGTGCATGTGAGAGAGAGAGGAAAAACAGGAGGCTAGTAGTACATATTTAAAGTTTGTGTAAGAAAGGGGGAAAGTTGAAAGAAAACATATTCAAATACTGTTTTGAAATTATTATGACTGTTAAATATAGGATTCCAAGTTGTAATTCTTCAAGGGTTTTCTCTTGGACATATGGGGCAAATTATCAAAAACAGTCGCTTAAACTCCATCTCCAAAATATGCAGGTGCAAGTATTAAGTGGTAATAATGCAGGCAAAATATAGAAATCATAGAGCAAGTTGAGTGTTGGTTCGTATGCTTGCCTATATGTGCAATTGCATGTACAAATCAAACATTTTGCAGCCATGCAAATATATATTTGTGAACATTAATTAGGTCCATGAATTAAATGTGGATATTTCCTAGATTCTTGTCTCTGAATTAATTCTTTAAGCATAGATGTGGAATGTTGGATGAATTTGTCAGCATATTAAACTATTTTTTAAAAATAAAATGTCTTGTAAGTCAAGCCCTGCAGAGATACAAAATTTGTATCCGCATCCGATCTGTGATCCACAAACATGGTCTGCGGATGTGGATATCCGCAGATTTGTACTCTACGTAGGCTCTACTTGTAAAAAATATATTTATTTTCTAGTTCTGATTTATTTTTCATTGGTCTACTTTGCAGTGTGCAAAAAGATCTCACGTAGAAATTAGACACGGGACTTTCTTATTTGCAGTAGGTTTTCTGCTTACTGTGTAGCAAGTGTGGAAGGTACACCTCTACCCCGATATAACGCAGCCCGATATAACATGAATTCGGATATAACACGGTAAAGCAGCGCTCCGGGGCGGCGGGATTGCGCACTCCGGTGGATCAAAGCAAGTTCGATATAACGCGGTTTCACCTATAATGTGGTAAGATTTTTTGGCTCCCGAGGACAGCATTATATCGGGGTAGAGGTGTATAAAGGAACTTCCTCTAAATATAAATACATCTCTACCCTGATATAATGCTGTCCTTGGGAGCCAAAAAATCTTACCACGTTATAGGTGAAACCACATTATATCGAACTTGCTTTGATCCGCCAGAGTGCACAGCCCTGCCCCCCCAGTGCACTGCTTTACTGCGTTATATCCGAATTCGTTTTATATCGGGTCGCGTTATATCGGGGTAGAGGTGTATTGTGATAAATCTCTGCTCATTTCCATTCATAAAAATATACAAAAGGGAGCCTAAGATTCTTAGGGCTGGTCTACACTACAAAATTAGGTCAGCTTAACTACATCGCTCAGGGCTGTGAAAAATTTCATGTCCTGTGCAATGTAGTTAAGCCAACCTAAGCCTTGGTATAGACATCTCCAGATTGATGGAAGAATTCTTCTCAGAGAGGTGGATTTACTACAGCGATGGATAATGTTTCCTCTAATTTTTTCATCCGTGTGCGGAATGAATTTTTGTATGTGCACCAATATTGAGATAATGTGTGGATGTGCGCCACCAGTAGAAATTAAAAACCTAGGTATAATATATATTTTTAAAAAGTTGTCATAGGGATAATTACTCCAGCCAAGACAGGTTAGGCATTTTAGAACCACTACTCAAAGAATTAAATTTAAGCGTAAGAGAGAAATAAAATTATGAAATGCATAGACCAGTCAAATAACAGCACTTTGAAAGAATAAAATTACAGAGCATATATGTGCATTGCCGGAAGTACCAAGCACTTTGAAAGAATAAAATTACAGAGCATATATGTGCATTGCAAGAAGTACCAAGAAGTAACAACAAAAACAATAATACAAGTTTGTGTTGGGAGGTGAGTGTAAAAGAGACAGTGTGTGTGTGAGAGAGAGAAAGAGTGTGTTTTTTGTTGTGTGTGTGAGAGAGAGATAGTGTGTGAGAGAGACAGAGAGACTGTGTGTATGTGTGTGTGTGTGTGTGTGTGTGTGTGTGTGTGTGTGAGTGAGAGAGAGAGAGAGAGACTGCGCTGTCACTTTAAGCAGAGCGACACTCACCAGTCTGAAAGCTTGTTCAGATACAGCAGCAGCCGCCAGCAGCTCCGTCTCACTCCCTAGTGCTGTTCCCCCCTCATCTCCACTGCTCTGTGGAGATAGGGTACATGAGGGGAGGAGGGGGACACCCTGACATCAGTGCCCCTCTCTTTCCCTTCCCCACTCTGCACAGCAAGCAGGAGGCTCCAAGGAGCAGCTGGCCAGGAGTTCCAAGGCAGAGGGCAGGAGCAGCGCAGCAGTGGGGGAAGGGCACCTGAACACAAGTCGTCATTGCTGAGGATGTGTGCGACTAATAATCAAGTGTGCAGCGATTAATAATCAAGTGTGCAGCACTTGATGGACTGTTGTATGGCCACACAGGCGTGCAGCTTAGAGGGAACACTGGCAATGGATGAACCCTTTCTGTCGTTTTAGTATTTATGCTACAGCGCTGCAATTGTGCTGCTGTACCATTTCTAGGGTAGACTTACTCTAGATGCCTTTGAATTAATAAACAAGTGAAAATCAGTATCTAACCCATTAACATTCCCTTCCTCGCTCCCCAAAAAACTCTACCTTCAACACAACTACCCACCTGAATTTCAGTTCCCCTTTCAAGGGAGCTGACTTTCAGAGGATCATTGCTCAGCATTTTTCTAAAAACCAGTTCTTTTTTAAGGTTTTTCAAGTTCGGCATCCAAAATCACATCACTTCTGAAAATCTTGGCCTTAATTGTTTTTTCCTGTGGTGTGTGGCTGACAAGCTTCTTGATTCTGGACCTTTATGCAACAAGATCCTGGAATTAATAAGCACCAGAGACGACAAAGCTTTATAAGGCACCCACTGCTTACTATAGTGGCAAGAAACTATAATAGCTGAAGGCTTTGAGGCAACTGGACTATCAGCTAGAATTCTGATCAGTATAACAAAACATTTAACAGTCTCCTAGCAGACAGCCTTGTGCCAAGTGAAAGTCTTATGTCAAAGAACTAACATCCAGCTTCATCAAGCTTTCACAGTCTTTGCAAAAGTACTGATGAAATACTTCCAACTATCTGTGTAGGACAGTAGTTGATTTTGGAATGGTGAGGTGGAGAACAGGCAATATATTTGTCTTAGTTACATCCTTGCACTGAAGTGGAACACTGCATCAAGACCGCCACAGATGAGTCCCTCCACTAATGTGTCCCTACACTGGGCAGAAATGCTAAAGAGCTGCTGACAGTGGTTGCCGCGACAACCTCTGTCAATGTATCAAACGCACACTAAGAAGAAAGGCCAATAGGTCCCCATGGCAACATCTCATGTATCGTGAGGAAGATTTGGCAAAGGTTTTTGTGTCAGTTTCCCTCCTTTGGCAAATCAGTGTTCATTAAGGAGAAACATTGGCCTGACAAGAAACCAATGATTATTTAAATTAGTATTGCAAAGGCATTAGGCATCAATGTTCTCATTTCAGCCAATTTCTGAGACTTGAGCATCCAGTACTCCAGATGTGCAATATGAACTGAGTTTTCCTGCAGTTGAGCTTCTAAGCTAAACAAAGTGTAATTGGGGAGATTCCAATTTTTCAGTTGATGCCACCTGTGTTAAAGTGAGGTGTAAAGAAGTCATGTTGTACCTTGATATAATCGTAACCTATGCTTTCCTCTTTTCTGGGCCTTGGACGCTCATAGGCTTCTCTTTGAAAGAATTTGAAGGATGTGACAGCATCACCTCTGAGGTGCCATAGTCATCTGAATCCATACTGACTATCCAAGTACCTGCTTGCTCACCTGGGATACTGGGAGTGTATAGGAGTCCAGATATTGAGGGTTTGGGCTCAAAACCATATTTCTACCTACAAGAATGCAAATAAATTTTAGATTTCACAGGAGGTTTCACCATACCTACATCTACAAAAGTCTCATCATGCTATGAGATATTTTCATTTGGGTGCTATCCAACTAAACCACTAGATCTTAAAGTCCCCTTTTCTTCTGCAGTAGTTCAGGACAGATAGTTCTTGACAAGATTGGGATTTAGCTGGAAAGATTTGCCACAGTCAGTAGTTTCAGCATAGCAGTTGAAACAGATAAATTCCATTGTAGATAGGTTCTTGTACCACTTTGAGTGGAAGTTGATAAGGTAGGTCGTAACTCTTAGTTCCTGTGGGAGCTCATTCCATAGTTTGGGACCAAACACTGAGAAGGCTCTGTTTCCTGCAGAGACTACCTTTACTTTTGTGGTAGAAAGTTTGAATGTGACTGAGGAGCAGAGTTGTTGACCAGGGTCCTCATCCCAGACCGTTAGGCAGTCTTTTAGATATCCTTGGCCCAGACTTAGGACCAAGACCTTGAATTTGAGTCAACATTTTATTGGAAGTCAGTGTGGAGAGCGGCAGACAGATCTGATGTGCTCATGGTAGCCTGCATTGCTGAGGAGGTGTGCAGCTACATTGTGAATTTGGTGTGGAGTTGGTGATTCCTAAGGGCTGATGGCTTTGTGCTCAGGTATATTGCATTTTAGTCCATCCAGGAGGTAAGGAAGGCATGTATAATTGAGGCCATGTAATCATCCACTAAGATGAGACTGAGTTAGCCTAGTCAATCAGAGGTGGTAGAAAATGTTACTTGTAGATGCAGCTATGCAGCTTAATGTCAGTAAATTAATCCAGGAACCTATTTAAACTGCAGACTGAATTGACCAATTGATGGGTGGGTACCTGCAAGCAACGGAGACTGCACAATGGCAGCCAACTTCTCTACCTGGATTTCCTTTGCCCACGTCATCACCTTTGTCTTGCTTGGGTTCAGCTTCAGCCAGATGTTCTGCATCCCTAAGTT